AAAAATGGAAGAATAGAATGTAATTTACGCAATCTTCTTTCCTAATCTAACAAAAGTCTTCTTGGCTAGACTTGGCACTCAAGTTTCATAGAACAGGTTATTTATTTATTATGTTTATTTTGTTATGTTTGTGTAGCCAGGTTACTGACTATTTGATCCTGTGTATTTCTGATATGACTTTACATAAATCTAGCAGAAGAGTTTGAATGACAATGCACGTCTTTTTTGACTGTAGAAAAACGTAATTTGTGGCAGAAACACAGGGGGCTTGACCAAGGTATGTTTTATGAGGAAATGTGCTAAATAGCCGTGGAAGTTATTTTTTCTCCCTGTGGTTGAAGAAATACTTGAGATAATTATTAAAGTTAATTCCACATGAGCAGTAAACACTTATTAAATTTTACTCTTATATCTGGTAGAATTTCAAAGGTAAATGGAAAAAGTGATTACTGCAAAGGTGTGGTGGCAGAGGGCAATAAAAAACCCTGAGTATCTTCTCCATGTTTTCATCTGAAGACTTAATTCCAAAAGGGTTTAGACTTAATTCCAAGGATTCTTGACCCCTATACATTTAGTCAGACTTAACATTTCTTGTTGGAAGCTACCTTTAAAAAAAAGTAGATAATCATAGAATCATTTAGGTTGAAAAATACTCCAAAATGCTGATAGATATGTACAACAGTATGGGTGGAGCAGATTTATAATACGTAACCCACAAATTTCAATCATAGTTAGTCATTATCATCTTTATGACCCATTACAAGACTCTTAAGATTGATTATGGGCTACTTGAAAACATCCAGACACGCAGGCTGATCATTGCTCTGTTTCTACGGGAATATTTGATGACTGAATGCGTTACTGGCTTTGGAACCAAATTACAGTGGGGCCTGGTATTATCACTTATATTTCAGTGCTTTTGTTTCAGACTGTGGTTTGGCTGCTGTTACTAAATATATGCAGCAGAGCTGTTTGCAATTTAAGAGTTGAACCTCCTGGTGTTAAGAGGCCAGCAAAAGGTAGCATTTAAGCTGTGCCTGAGTGCTCTGCTGAGGTCAAAGGCACAGATGTGTGCCTGGTTTGTTTTTGCACACAGAAAATCGTGCAAAGACAGTCTGTGGGCAAATGGAAGATTTGCATATAAATGTACATGTTGGTAGCAGTAGGAAATCACTATAGTGGCTCTGGATTTTAGCTTAGTGATTTCCATATGCTTTGGGTTCTGTTGCTCAGCTTCTGAGCAGGTGAAACATGTTTTCTGTGTATGGCCACAATAAAATGTTATTGGTATGGGGGATGGATTCAAACATGAATGTTATTAGAGCTAGCCAGCTTCAACTTCGGTCTTACTGAAGAATTGCATTTATCTTGACAGATTGTATCCATAACTTTCTAGGACCTGTGAGATAGGATCTGTACTTGAGAAAGATCATCAGAATGGTTGGATGGTTGGAGCATTGAGACCCAGTAAGCTCCAAAATAGGAAAAGCCAAGTAGGGAACTTCTAGTTGTTACTCTGACAAGTGCTCTGAGTGCTTTCCTTTATTGCACATAAATCCACATGAATTATTTAAATACTTACATTTATTTAAATTTAAATTATTTAAATTGCACATTTTGATAACTATCTATTGAAACTTTTTCCTTTTTGTAAATATTTTTCCTCTCATACAACTAGTATGAGAGTAGTCCACTATTTGTGTGTAGGTAGTTTTGAGAAGCATTCACCAACTATATAGTTTTTCTTAATAGTAATTTCAATTTCCCAAATTTTGGGAAGACAGAAAAAAAAAAAAAAAGGACTTATACAAAAAATACAGTTACGCAGAATAAAAACAAATTTTCCTCCTGGAGTTTCCCCAAAGTTAGTATATCAGGCTTTAGTTACTACTTCATAACAATGTAAATACTGTTTGTTTCCAGTAGAAGCTGAGTAAATGGTTACTGAACTTTGTCCTGAGAAACAATAAATATGTTCAATTCAAATCAAAGAGTGGGGGTGTTTGATTCTGTAATTCCACTTGTTGTTGAGCTGTGTGTTAACAGCTTCACATCTTTCAGTGCAATGAGGCTCAGATTTTACTATTGTCTAGGTAACTACTGTTCAAATATTGATGGCAGTGGTATTTACTGTAAGTATGCTGTAAATTGATACCTTTTCTATTGTTACTGCTTCTAAAGCTGAGCCACAGTAAGAGTTGAGCTGTCCATTGTTTTATTAAAGTTCCCTATTTCCTGGGTTTGGGATGAAATCCAGCTTTTTTTGGATTCCTCCATAAAATAAAATTGTTTTCTATTCTGGTAATAAGTGTTTCTCAGGAAGAAGAGGAAAGTTTTGTTATTGTTTTAGGATTTATCTGGTCTGCCTGTTGCTCATATTGATAGACAATGCCTCTTCAGGTTATAGCCTTGTTTGAAGTCAGCTTTTTAAAAAATATTCTACCTTGACTGTATTACTTCATTTGTTGTCCTATTAAATTAAATAAGTGATGCCACAAATTCCATCCTTCCACCATGCTTGTGCAAGCTTTGTAAGTTTACTTCACTGACTATATTACATAGAACTGTTCATGTAATCTTAGTTGACTTACATTAAGACATTGTAGCTCTGTCTTTATAATAAGATATCCAAAAATATTATTTGCAGCTTTATCTCAATGCTCCCTTACTTATGTGACTGTAGATGTGAGTTTTCAGGGATGCCGCTGAGTTCATCTCATTCTCAACAGGTGAAGTGGAGTGTAGAGGGCTTACAATGTTTTAGCAGTATTATGCATATTTAAATTAAAATTTGACTTTATAAAGCCTCATTTTTCATTTAACATAAATTTTAATATTACTTTTTCTTGGATAAAATAGTAATAAATTAGTAAAATTTCTGATTAAATTCAAAATTATTCTTCTGAATGAGTACTTAATATTTTCACTGCGGACAAATGGTAGGTGAAAAAAATGTAAAATTTCTTAAAAGACAGTGTGTCTCCATAAGTTACATGTATATAAATTAAAACTCTGGGATAAGGGTTTAGGGTACACCTTAATTCTAATTTTAGTAACCAGTTCTAACGTTTCTCACAGGATGGAAAAGGGTGAACTTTCTTATTTTTATATTATTTCCTGAACCTTACTGTTACTATTTTTAAGAGTTCAGATAAGGCATCTTTATATAGGAAAGAAAATTCTGGCAATAGCAATGCATTACTGGAAGCATAAAAGATGTCACAAACAACTTTTTTTTTTTTTTCCTAATGACAATTATAAACCTGTTTTATGTGTTTCAGTGTTTGTCACTCTTTTCTTCTGCCTGAATAATGAACACTAATCCTAGGGAAAGACCAAAGATCCCATGGATTGCTAGTATTAGCAGGAGGCTTGTAAGAATGATCCACCAAGGACAGTGCTTTACTACAGATCTTGTCAGTTTGAGTTTTAAAGGAAATGAAGATATTGTGGTTTAAATTAAGTTTGAAATAGGATTCAGAATTTGACTGAGGACAAATCTAGTTTAGATTGGTTAGAAGGCATAGCTTCACAAATCATATCCTGATTATGGAAATGCTAAAAGATAGTTGTAATTGCCACTGCAAATTTGTTGCTATTCAAAGTGGTGACATGTCTTTTGAAATCATCTATTAGACTCAAGATATTTGCCTTGAAATACGTCTGAAACCAGATTTTGCAATTGAATACTTGGACTTTTTTGCAAATGGGTACTGTTTTTCCCCTGATAGTAGGACCAGAAGTGCAGATAATTTCTAGAGATGCATTGTAAGTGGCACCAAACAAAGTACACTAAAATAAATAAAAAGTGAACACATGAATTAAAATTCTGTAATATAAATGATGAGCATGTGCTTTTTGGCTTTTATCTCTCCTTTTCTGATTTTCTCTGATTATCTCAAAGATATTTCCTTTTATCTTTTCTTTTATTTTACCTTGGGAAGTGTTATCCTCTTTGTATCAGTTTTATGTAGTATTTATATCTAGACTGCTGCCAGATGGACTTTGTCAAAGGTCTGTAAAGTCATTTGGACCTTTCATGTATGTGAAAGGGACCTGGATATATCCATTTGTGGAACTGGTATTATGCTGGGTAAGAGTATTGCGAGTTTGATGTGTAGTGTTGCCCTAATATTAGAGATCATAAAACCATTTCATTCTAGACCTCGGAAAATTAGTAATAATTACATATGAATTGTTTTGTGTTGACTCCAGTGGCGTGCTTTCCTCATTTAATGCCACTGGAGCAGTCCCTTTTAACTATGAAGTAATGTCTGCTGCTCAATTTGTCCCCAGTTGAACTCAATGTACAGGCCTCTTATATAATAAAGTCTAAATAACAAAGAATGAACAAGTAGTACAAGTACTTTACTATACAAATTTAAAATTGATGCTGACACTACCCTTTCTCAACAGTTTTTAAATACTGCATGTGTGCATTATATAGAAATGGTAGTTTATTTTAAGGTAAGATTGGTTCTTTCAGTGTTTTTCTTGTTACAACGATTTTGATTCATTCAGAGAACCTGCTTCAGCAGATTAATTTCTAAAGATACTGTAAAATTAATTCTTATGTTAAGGATTGTAAAATTCTACAGATGCAACCATAACTTTTCTGCCTTGGCAGATATTTGAAGACATATTTCATGTTTATAGCTATCAAGCATTTTCCACATTATGAGCTTCAACTTGATGTACAATTTGTTACCTCATTGCCTTTCTTAATGAATAGACTTTAAATACTAAACCAAACTTTAAATGCAAAATGATATAAAGAAACTATACTTTCATATATTTTCTTTTTGAGTAATACTTTATGAATCCAGCTACTTAAATAATGTTATTTCATCATAAGAACCCTGGAGCACCTGTTCAATGTGTTATAATATAAACTCAAAGAGGATGTTCTTTCATGTTTGACTTTTCATGTGAACCATTGGATGGCTCTACTTCATCGGCTGCTAACTAATGCATACTCCACATTTTCTTTCTGCAGCCACAAGAAAAAGCTTCTTAACACACTGACCTTCATCATTTGTACTTGGTGATATCTGCATCTAACATAACTTGAAACTTCAGCTTTGTGAGTAATATATTTGTGCTGTAAAAGTTGAAGAGTACTAGAGGAAGAAGAGGGTGTGATTGAGTGAGTGTGGGGAAAAGAATGTGCTCAGAAACACATAAGGCAATGCGTGGAGCCAACCTCAGAGTAGGTATAGAGGGTTGTGCCAGGGAATGGATGACTCTCCCGGGGTATGCTGAAGGGGCAATCAATTTTTATTAAGGGAAAAGGGAGACACAGCTGAATGCTTGCTTTTAAAGAATTCTGTGTTTCCCAGTTCCCTTCCTGCTCTTCCTTTCTTCCCTTTATGCCTGCCTATTTCTACAGTGATAAGCTTATCTTGGCAGTTAGGAAGTTGTGTGATCCATAACCATTGCTAATAGAAGGGCAGTTATGGCTGTTCTGCTATGTGGAAGGGCTGGTCTGCTCAAAGATTGCTTCACCTTTTATTGTAGTTGACTGTAATCCAACAGACAGCAGTAATCACAACAACAACAAAACCACAAAACCAAAAAACCCAAACCAAAAGCCAGGAAGCTGCTAATTGATTTCTATTTCTAGTATTTCATTTGCATTTTGTTTACATTTCACTTATTTTGGTGCTTCCATTGCTCTTCAGTTTCAAACAGCTTCACTGAATAGCCTGAATGAGCTTGTAAAAGATGTACAAGTGTTTCTCCTTCACACACGTTCTAAGTCTTGAAACATATTCAGCGACTCTCTTGAACTATAATATTATATCTGAGTTATTCCACTGTAGAAAAACATACAGGACGATGCAGGATTACCTATGAAAATGCCTTTCCTGGGATGGATGATCAGAGTTAATGGTCTCCATTCCCTTTAGGAGATCTTCCAGGATGTTTAGTGTATGCTGTAAAGACGTTGCAGAGCATGGCAGGCTGAATTCTGGACAGAAAAAGGCAGAAGTGATCAAATGGTTATTTTCTTTCTCCTGTGCCTCATTTTGGTGAGCTGTATGCCTTAGTATAAGTCTGATGTGTTAATTCTTCCCACTAAGAATTTTAGCCAAGCTGCTTATTGATTGTGTGTGCAGTCCAGAGATGGGAAGTAGGATCTACTCTCTGCCCTCATCTCCTGTTGCATATCTTGGTGACTGTATAATTTGGTGACAATGCTGTACTTGCTCTTTACTGGTGCTGAATAAAATATTTATTTGATAGTATGTGCTAATTATATTTATGCTGGTATGTGGAGTAGTATTTTCAGTATTCATTTTTAAGGGAGTAGAAGACTCCTAAGAGAGATTAAATGGATGTGGGTAGCAATACTGTGGATTTTGTGTCTTGTAACACATAAAAGCCTTCAATATTTGGTAATTCTTTTCCCCTTCTCACCTCCTACTAAAAAATAAATCAGTCCTGTATTTTTCATTGTCATAATTGAAAACCTGCAGGATTTGGCCCATGGCGGTTTTCCCACATGTTGCACTGTTTTATACTACTCAAATTATCTCTATGTCTGTATTTCTCAAAAATTTTTACTTAATAAGGTAAATGTGGATGTCTTATAAAAGTTCAAGCAAAATTAAATTTTACATTCTCAACATTCTCACATATGTCTCTAATATTATGTTTTGCTGTATGGATATAGAAGTAGAAACTTGGGACAACTGAAATCAAGTCTGAACATTTGATGTAAAAATAATGGATTTCCTGTAATTAAAAAAAAAAATCCCACATGGGCAGACAGTTCTAGAACTTGTCACATTAGGGCTTCTTATAACATTCTTCGAAGGATTTTCTTTTTTACAAGTGCTTCTGGAAACAACAGGATCACTTGCTTATCCAGCAGCATTATTTCTATGACTTTAATGGTAATCTTGTGCAGAAATGACATCAAAATGACTTAAGTAGATAATTTAAGTCGTAACTTCAATGACTCATCAAGAGTCACTTAAGTAGATTCAGACTAGTGATACTGATTTTATGAACAAGGAATATTTTCAAACAGTAATTCAGGCCAGACTGGCCTCTGTAAATACTAGAGAATTATTTTGCAAGGGTAAGGTAAAGCTAGTAATTCTTACTTTGTTTTGAAATAGTATACAAAAAATTTAAACTTTCCTTTAAAAAGTCTCCCTCTTCCAGCAGTGTAAACATCTCAAATTGCCCTCTTTGTGAAACTGAAATAGTTGCAAATTAGCTTGTGGGGTTTTGTTTTGTTTTGTTTGTTTGGTTTTCTTGCTTTTGCTCCTCAGCTCTTTTCAAGAACAAAATGGTTGTTTTTTGAGAACATGTAAGCAGTGAGTTCTGGACAGAACTGCAAGTGAAGTGGAGATAGAAAGAATTTCTGAAAACTAAAACAACAAGAATGAGCATTGAGAAAAAGAATTCAACTGAAAGGGAAAGGCAGGTATGAAAAAAGGGTAAGGGAGATATGAATGGCAAAAATAAAAAAAGATAAATATGATTTTATGGTGCCTACATGTATACTAGCTGCTATTAATAAGAATGGTACTTAATTTGCCCATGTGGATTAAGATTTTTGTTTTTGCATCAGTAAAAGCACTTTGCTGCAGCTACCAGCTACCATTTTGGGAACATCATTGCATACAGTATTTCTGATACTTCCACTTTAACCAAGAGTCAACATTTTGTTCCCAAAACGTGATAACTAAACAGGAGAACAACTCTGAAAATGTGCTTAGCTTTATTTTTTTTACAGTTTGAGACTTTTATTACATAGATGTAATTAGTAAGATTGCAGTTAGGAAATATAAATATCTCCAGAAGGGAAATAAGTTTATTCAAGGTATCTTACGAAAACAGGCTTAAAATCATGTTGTCTTCAGGACGAACACAAAACATTCAGTTACTTAGATGACACTTCTGTCACCTGATTGATTAAACATTAATTCTTATTATTCACTGGTGAGAAAGCACTACTTGCTCACCTGCAAGCTGGTCATATCAGTCTAATGGTATCAGTGTGTTGGTACAAAATTTCTTACACATGAAGAAAATGAATGTGGTATTTCTCTGTATTGTTTTTTTAGACAATTGTTGGTCACTGTTCTGATGTGCTAACACTGTACCAGATCAGTGTACCAGTGTTGTAAGCCAATGGCAAGGACTACAGACCTAAGCATTCCTGTGTTCAGGAATTTTCAAACTTAAAGCATCACTTTCAAAACAAAACAGCTTACAACAGCCTGCCAGAGATCAGAACATGTAATTAAAGTGCAACTCCTAGACTATCAGTCTTCGTATTTTTTTCCATAACTAGTTTGTAGAAGCCTCTTCTGGGATGGGGGAGGTTTGATTTCACTTGTATCTTCTCATAATCAGATATAGTGTAAAAAAATGTCAGAATACCGTTTAAACCCTAGCAGTCCTGCCTTGGAGTAGAGCAGTGGACCAGATGACATTTTAAGTCCTAATTTTAAAGTCCTTGTTCTAGAAAGAAACATTTTTTTCCATTGGGAGCAGGATAGTCTGACCGGTAGCAATGTCTCATTTATGCAAAAGGAGATAAACTGTCAGTCAGCTGTCACTGCTGACAGCCTGTGATGACACATGGCATGCAAAAATAAGTGATGTCTGTGGTGGTGTGTCCATGAACCATTTAAGACTTTAAGCATTGAAATTAATATAAATAATGATTCTTATTTTGTGTATTTATCTCTTTTTCCATAGCAAGAAGAATTTCTACCCATGATCAGGGTTTCTTAGGATAAAACCTGTTTTTGGAATGCATTTCTGTTAATATGCTGGAGAACAAGACTCAGCATGTGCTAGCATTCTCAATTTTCTTTGACATTCATGATTTCCAGCTCAGCTGCTTTTTTTTTTTAATGAATGTCAGATCTTTGTAATGCCAACAACAATGGTTCATTGCCAGAAAAAATAAAAACCCAAAACCAAAAAATCAAAACCCAGGAGGCAGCAAATGGAATTGATTTTTTAAAAGCTCTTTTTACTCTTAAAGTAACTGAGGAGCATGCAGGTTTTCAGAACAAGATGTGTTTACTTTGGCAATAGGTGCCATATGTTATTTTTCTTTTTTTCTTCAATCATCTCTCATAAGGAGGATAGAACACTAACAGAACATAACTCTAAAAAGAGTCACCCCTTAAATACACATTTCCTTGTGGTGTTATAAACTGCTGCAATGAAACTGCTTGACAGCCAGGATAACTGTGCCCAACATTTTACATGTAAAATAGCTGTTAAATATAACACAATTGCATAGCCTTAAATCTAATTTTCAAAAATGTGTGAAAGTAAGAGGCGATTAGGAATTTCCTTAATATTTGACTACGCTGTCAGAGTTTCTGGAAAAGGTATGCTAAAAGGTAGTGGTAGCCAGCCACTGCTGTCACTTTCTGTTAAAAGCCATACATAATTGTATGCTTCCTGATGTCTCTTTTTGTGCTGGCTGTGTGGTTATCTCCTTGCAAAATGGACATGAATCACACGTAAGACATGCATGTAGTTTTCCTCCTTTCTCCTGGAAAGGTGTTGAAGCAGCAACAGGGTAGCACAAAAGCTTCTCACTGCTGTTGGAGGGCAACACCAGTAAAGCTGAGAGTGACAAAGGCATTTAGGAGCCTGATTCCCACTGAAATCAATAGGAATTGGGTGATTAAAGGCACTGCATATGTGGGTATGGCTTCTGGCTAGGCTGCAGAACAATGTTACTGGGAGGAACCATGGATGGGATGGAATCAAACAGCACGTTTTGGGTCCCATTTCCTTTCTCATGTTGGTCCCACCCATTGTTTGAACGGTGCTAGTCAGCCCTCTGGCCATGAGCAGTGATGAGTTTGCTGACAACTTCTTTGTGACAGTCAAGCTGAGCTTTCCATTGACAGTAACCCACAGCAAAGACTCCTTAGTGCCTGTGTGTCATCTTTTTTTTTTTTTTTTTAAATTCTGTATCAGCCACAGATGTGTTAGTGCATGATACATATTGTTTCTCACTTTTTAACTTAAGAAGATAGTCCTTTCTGCAACCAGCAGCATGCATTTTGCAATAGTATTTTAGAAAGCTGCTTA